CTACAGCCCACTTCTTCGGATGCATATAGAAGTGGGCTGTAGTCCACGAAAGCTTATGCTCTAATAAATTTGTTAGTCTCTAAGGTGCCACAAGTCCTCCTGTTCTTCTTTTTTAAATTAATACTTTATGAATAACCTATAGGTTGAACACTGGTGAATACTTACAAGTAATTAATACATTAGCAGAAATTATCTTCTGTTTGCAACCAATTTGAAAATTTATTAACCAATAATTTGAACAATTCTAATTATAGCTGCCCTTCCTGCCAAAATCACATTTACAGTACACTGGTACTATCTATGAATAACAGCTACATAGACACTTCAGGATTTTAACCATTTTATTCTGTGGTGGACCAGCTATAACAAGCAACTTCCTTAGATTTGGATCTGAACACATTCACTATTATTCACCTATGGACCACCTGACTTCTCAATTTTTTCTAGTTTTATTTTTAAATTGTATAAATGTTTCCATGTAGTTTGTGTATTTCTGCAGGATACAATATATTTACTGGCAGTTAACAGCTCTGGAAGAATGAAATATCTGTGGTCTTGAGCCACCTAGTGGCTGACTTTCAAGAAATTAAGGGGTTTGATTTAATAATTCATGCAGTTTGTTTAAAACAAATAAAATAATAATAATAATAAAACAAGCACAAACAAGCTGAATGAAAGAAAGAATCTGATTTGCCATCAAGGATTCTGAGCCTCATGTGACAGAGTGGGATAGGTCTGTATTTAATTATTAACTCCAGTTTGTACTATGTGTTGAACACAAGCCCTCAGTCAACCTATTGTACTGCATACCAGACAGCTCTGTTGCCCAGGAAACGTGCTTGACCTCACTGAAGGACTATCACTGAGATGCCATCAAGACAGCAATCTGGAGCCATCAACTTTGACTGCCTCTCAACCGCTGGCCTACTTCTGCCAAACAACAATTTTCTACATCGGGACCCCATAGATGGGGAAAACATGGCAATATTGGAAGAGGGGGTGGGGGGAGGCTGGAGCTTCTCATCTAAGCACATGACACAAAGGAGACACCCTATTTAAGAGCAGGGCTCTGCTTTATGCAGGAGTATCTGACCATCACCAAAAGAAGGACTTTCAGGAGAAGGGGGGACTCTGCCCAGGCTCAAATGGTAACAAACTTCAAACTCACAGAAGGGGTGAGATCAGACATGGGGAGGATGCATCTCAAGACATTTCTTGTTTTCAAAGAGCTGTGACTCAAGTGCTTTAAGAGTATTGTTACTGTGACTAAGGCCTGGTCTACACTACGGGTTTAGGTCG